AAAATATTCTGGCTCCCTATATACCTTGAAAAATTTGTGACCTGTGCTAGCCAGCTTCCAAGATGGACTTCAGTGATCCTCACCTCCTGGTTTTTGTGCCCTTGTATAATGCCCTTTCACAATGAATAAGAATGACCTGTATAACCAATAGACTACTGGGGAAATGATGGTGTGTGACTTCTCAGGCTAAATCATAAAAATATTGAAGCTTCCACTTTACTCTCTCTTGGCTCTCTCACACTGGCAGAAATCAGCCACCATGTTATGAGAACACTCAAATTCCAATAGAGAGGTCCACGTGGCAAAGAACTTAGGCCTTTTGCCACCAGCCTGCATTAACTTGCCAGCCTTGTGAGTGGGCCATCTTGGAAGCAGATCCTCTGTCTGGCACCACAGCCAAGCCTTCAGAAGCCCTGACCAACATCTTGATTGCAACCTCAGGAGTGACCCTGAGCCAGAACTACCCAGCTAATCTGTTCCCAAATTCCTGACCCACAGAAACTGCGTGAGATGTTGTTTTAAAACATCTCTACATTGGGGCTCCTGGGTGGCTCAGTCAGTTGAGCATCTGCCTTCTACTCGGTCCTGGGATCTAGTTCCATGTTGGGCTCCCTGCTCAGTGGGGAGCCTGCTTCTCCCTCTGCCTGCCACTTTTTTTTTTTTTTTTCTCTCTCTCACTCTCTCTTTTTTTTTTTTTTTAAAGATTTTATTTACTTATTTGACAGAGAGAGACACAGCGAGAGAGGGAACACAAGCAGGGGGTGTGGGAGAGGGAGAAGCAGGCTTCCCGCTGGGCAGGGAGCCCTATGTGGAACTCGATCCCTTAGAACACTGGGATCATGACCTGAGCTGAAGGCAGACGCTTAATGACTGAGCCACCCAGATGCCCCTCTCTCTCACTCTCTCTCAAATAAATAAAATCTTTTTAAAAATTAAAAAAAAAAGCCTCTACATTTTGGGACAATAGATAACTAATACAGGGCTTTTAAAAAATATATGTGCCCTATGTATTAGTTTTCCTAGGGCTGCCGTAACAAAGTACTACAAATCTGGTGGCTTGAAACAATAGGAATTTTTTTTCTCACAGTTCTGGAGACCAGGAGTCTGAAGTCAAGGTGTTGGCAGGGCTATACTCCCTCCAAAGGCTCTAAGGGAGAATCCTCCCTTGCCTCTTTCAGTTTCTGGTGGATCCAAGTGTTCTTTAGCTTATGACTGCATAACTCCATTCTCTACCTCCATTTTCACATGACCTTTTCTTTTCTATGTGTCTGTCCTTTGTGTGTCTCTTACAAGGACACTTATCTGGACTTAGAACCTACGCAGATAGTCAAGAATGATCTCATGTCTGGATTTTTAATACAATTACATCTGCAAAGAGGTTTTTTCCAAGTAAGGTCACATTCACAGGTTCCAGGATATGGACTTATCTTTTTGGGGGGGTCACCACTCATTCTACTACACACTATACAAGTTTATGTATAGTTTAAATATATAATTTACTTAGGTCACCTTAAAGAGTCATGAAGGCAAAATAATGATAAGATGATAATAACAGTGATAATAAAAGACTTGGTTAATTGAGTGCTCCAGTGGATGGGTTTGATTACTCAAAGCTGCATCATATCATCTTTTTTATGAACAGGAATCAGGAGTCCTGGGATCTGACCTCCACTGGTTGTATGGTCTTGGCAAGAAACTTCACTTCCATGAGCTTTTCTAGGGGGAGGATCCTTTCCCTTAGCCTCTGTCTATGTGCAGACACATCTACTAGAGTAACACATCTGGCCTCTCTTTGCCTCCATACTCTCTAGAGACTTCAGGAAAAAGAAATGAATGTGCTTGGCCAGGGCCAGGACTAGTGTGAGGTCAGAGAGGAAACTGGGGCACAAAATTTAAGAAGGCCCCCACTCTCAGGGTCATGAGGCAGACATATTCCAGGGAGTATATTATGGGCCTCATTCCAGTGCCACTCTATGAAGCCCTCCCTGCCAGATGATTCAAGATCACATCAGTCATTCTCTACTTTGATGCTCCATAATAGTTGTTTGTACCCCACAGTTCACAGTTTTTACAATCTATTCTTTAATTGTTCCAAGTATACATCGTTTATCTCTTCAATTAGATTGTAAACACCCTCCTCTCAATGTTGTCTAACCATGTTGGGGCACATTACATGAGCATCACTACACATTTATTGACTGACCAAATTAGTAGAAACACTTCTTCAAGAAAACCTATTTAACATGCTTTTCCTCCTTGAAGATAATTTTGTCTCAGAAATCATTCTTTATTTTAGAACATAGTACATTTTCCAGGTGGACTATTTTCCCCACGGAAATCATGTAGTACTTAAAACACCTAAATCCATCATGCAATCTTCTTCAAGTTATTCATATTTCAGAAATGTGCTCAATTTTTTGGTATTAATTTGCTTTCCTAGTTTCTTAATTTGTGAGTCTATTTGTGAGGATACTGATCTAATTATGTTATTTTACCAGTTAGGCCAAAAAGAGCTTGCTTTGGCAACTGTGTGTAAACTCTGCCGGAAAGTCCCACCCCTAACATTGTGGAGGTGGAACCAGGCCATACACGGAGGCCACCATATCATGTGTCTACATATTTAAAAGTTACATATCAAGGGGCGCCTGGTGGCTCAGTCATTAAGCGTCTGCCTTCGCCTCAGGTCATGATCCCAGAGTGCTGGGATCGAGCCCTGCATCGGGCTCCCTGCTTGGTGGGAAGCTGCTTCTCCCTCTCCCACTCCCCCTGCTTGTGTTCCTGCTCTCGCTATCTCTCTCTCTGTCAAATAAATGAATAAAATCTTAAAAAAAAAAAGTTGCATATCAAGCTCTCAAACTTTTGGTGAAAAAGTACATCCTATCCTTCTACCTTGACAGATATTTTTTTCTTTTCTGATTTTCACTTTCATATTTTCTATTTCTGCCTTGGCCTTAAAAAAAACTCATTCTTAATGCTCTAAAAGATTAAAAAACAAATGTAATTACATTCAAAGTATTCAAATTGTGAATATATTTTCCACCAAAAAACGAAAGGAAATATAACAAACTGAAAAATTACAATTATTTTTGGGTGAAGGTGGTCAGAAGTACAAACTTCTAGTTGTAAGATATGTAAGTTCTGGGGATATCATATACAGCATGGTGACTATAGTTAATAATACTGTATTGTATATTTTGAAAGTTACTAAGAGAGTAGATCTTAAAAGTTCTCATCACAAGAAAAATAAATTTGTAACTATGTGAGGTAATGGATGCTAACTAAATTCATTGTAGTAATCATTTCACAGTATGTCTATATAGCAAACCATTATGTTGTATACCTTAAACGTAGGCAATGTTATATACCAATTATATCTCAATAAAACTGGAATAAAATTATTTTATATGTTTAAAGATGACTTCTCTAAAGAGTTCAAAATTGAATTCTTAAATTCAATTCTTAAAATTGAAAAGAAAAAAATTATAATTACTGAATATCAAAATTTTAACCCAAAATTATAGAAAAAAATGAAAATTTATTTGCATCTATTTAAATTTTTTAAAATATTTTATTTATTTATTTTAGAGAGAATGCAAACAGAGGGGAAGGGGCAGGGGGAGAGGAGGAGAGAAAGAATCTCAAGCCAACTCCTCGCTGAGGACAGAGCTTGACACAGGGCTCAGTCTCACAACCCTGAGATCATGACCTGAGCTGAAATCAAGAATCGGATGCTTAACTGACTGAGCCACCCAGGCACCCCTCTATTTAAATATTTTAATAAAATTAAAACTATTCTTGATTCTTGCGTTGACTGTCTAGTGGCCAATGGGAAGAACATGAATATGCATCATGCTTCATGCATATTATGTCTAGCCTACATATGCACACATTCAAGAGTAATATGAAATATTTTATATTGCAGAATGTCCCTAAGCAATCACATTTAATTACTGCAAATAATATACTAACTCATGAGTACTTCTGGAAACACAAAATATGAAGAAAAGCAAGAAAATGGATGCTGGATACAATGAAAAATGATACTGCACTATGTAAAAATCTCTTGCACTCATGCTCTCTAACAGGAGGGAAATGAAATATTCTTTTCTCCTCTCTAGCTGCTTCTGCTATTCAAATCCACCCAAAGAGCTGGTGTTCATCTCCAAATATGGTGGCAGTACAATCCATAAGACTTCACAGCATTTAGACACAGTTGCTTTTCCACTCAAGGACATAGGACAAGAGATGTAAAGAAGCATTTCCCTGAGGCCTGAATGCGGTTAAGCATGAAACTGGATGTTTAAGGACACATGTGCCAGTGCCGAGCACCAGATCTCAAGTGCCAGAGGTGCCCATATGCTATTTAATAGATTGATTTTTTGTGTTTCTGATATGTGGGGCCTCCTAAAACATGGGGCTTAAGGCAGGGCCGTCTTGCCTGGGTGGCAGGGTTGGTTGTACTACTGTGCCAAAAGTCAGTCACTAAATGTCAGAAAGTTCTTTCTAGTCCCACATAGGATTCATGGGTTAAAGAATTAAGTTATTTTTAGTGACACGGTATATAGACTCTGGAGACATAGTGATTGGGTTCACATCCCAACTTTGCTACTTAGTTGTAAGTCACCTTGGGCAAGTTATGTAACCTTTCTATGCCTTGGTTTAAAAAACACCCATCTCACTGAGTAAAGTGAGTGAATATACAGGTAAGAGAATATATACATCAAAAAATGTAAAGTAGGGGCATCTGGGTGGCTCAGTCGGTTAAGCATCTCTCTTGGGCTCAGGTCATGATCTCAGGGTCCTGGGATCAAACCCCGCATCAGGCTCCCCACTCAGCAGGGAGTCTGCATGTCCCTCTCCCTCTGCCCCTCTCCCCACTTGTGCTCTATTTCTCACGTGCTCTCTCTCTCAAATAAATAAATAAATAAATAAGATCTTTTTTTAAAAAAATGTAAGGTAAATATAAAAGATATTTTTGCAATATAAAACAACTCATTTTTTTTTTTTGGCTCTTTTCAGTTTATTGCATGAAGGAGTTACACTAGTCCAAGTTAAAAGCCGACGCCAAATGGTTACATTATACAAGCTGTGAGGTTTTTAAACTTGTGACAAGGGACAGGAGGGAAATTCTACTCATTGCAAGGAAATCCTCACTTAAGCTTCAATGAACCAAAAGCACTTAAAACCCATGAACCTTCAGCTGGTCGTCCTTAGCCAGTCCAATCTCTACCAGGAACTGGCATATGTTCTTGCGCTGGTCACCCTGTAGCTGAATTACTTCTCCATATTCTGGATGCTCAATTACAGTACCATTGCAGGCAAATTTCTTCTTAAACGCCTTCACTAGTTTCTTTTTATCGTAATCATCAGCGATCCCTTGGACAGTAGTAAGGGTCTTCCTGCCGTTTCTCTGTTGAATTCTTATATGGATATAATCCTCAGTGCCAGCAGGAAGCAGATCATCACCCTTACTTGCATCAGCAAAGGGGTCGAAAGAGTGGAGGTTCTGGATAGCGAACGTATGATACGATTCCTTTTCCTCGGTGGAAACGGCCTGCGGAAGGCGGCGGCGGGAGAAGGCGGGCGGGGGGGACGGAGCGTCGGGAAGCGAGGGGGCTTAAGGGGGAGGCTGCTGAGTCCTCGGCGGCGGCTCAGTGACTGGGGCCTATAAAACAACTCATATTACTCTTAAATGTGTGCATATGTTGGCTAGACAAAGATATATATATCTTTATCTATATATAAAATTATGTGCATCCTTCAAAGCATTTTGTAGAACCAATTCACTCTTGGAAATAGTGTAATAATTAATAATAATTATAATAATTACAGCCAGCTTTTGAGTATCTTTTATGGCCAAGCACAACATTTACATTTTATCATTTAATCTTCAGAACAATCCTGAGACATCCTCCGTTTTCAGAGGAAGAAACTGAAATTAAGAAAGATTAAGTGATCTGCTCAAGGGCACAGGTAATAAGTGACAGGACTGAACTTCAAATGGATGTTTCCTGAGTGCTAAACCTCAGCTCTTTTCATTTTGTTCTTGGCGGACCAACCATGTCTCTTAATCCCAAATTCTTAATTCTAAGATCATAGAGTACAATGGTACTGTTATTGTAAGGATGAACATTACAAATAACTTGCCACCACCCAACTTTGAGCTCTTTAAGGACACAGGTTGTTTTATTCAGCTCAGCATAATGCCTGGAACATTGTAAACATTCAATAAATGTTTTTCAAACCAATAATGATTAATCTGGGGCCAAAAACAGGCTAGGGAAGTTAATATAATATCTTGTTAATCAACTGTAAAATAGATTCACTGAGACAACTACAGTACTCCCTCTACTTCATGTAACAAAATTTTATATGATTAACTAATATTTTTTAACGTTTAGTCATCTCAATACCCTTAGATCTTATTTTGACATTTTTAACCATGGCATCTGGTTGACTCTTCCATGAATCTTTTTGAAATGAAGACTCAGTTTATTCAAATTTATCTGGCTTCCACTATTATTCCCATGGTCCTTGCCAGAAAACAAATTACGGAATGTTTGAAGATGTTTTCCTTGTTTAGATTTTAACCGATGGGGCTTTTTTTCTCAGAAAATTCTCATGGGACACACAGGTTCATACCAGCCTGAAATATGGTTATTTGGCCCGTCTGCCATTTTCAATTACATTTAAATTTAGGTTGTATATTTAGGGATATGACGGTGATGCTATAGAGTTTTATCCTGAGTTTCAGTTCTTTTGGAGTTCCACAAGGAGCAACCTGCATCTAGTACTGAACCACATTTTAAGATGCATTTCCCAGCAAATTGTAGGGGGAGAATATGAACTCCATCAGGTTCACCTCTCTTGTACCAGACGAGAAGCATCAGCTATTTATTTACACTTTAGTCCAGATTGGGAGGATAAGGGGATTTCAGGCAAACTCATATAACCTAAGCCCAAGTGGTTGGCAGTCGTGGTAGAGAAAGAAGACTTGTGTCAGACACAGTCCCAAATATCCATTCCCTCATCCTTGCTTGGTGAAGGAACCTTGATTTTAGCTCAGTTTATAGCCACCCTGAAAGAAAACCCCAAACAAAAAACCTTCCCTTGCGGTTGCTTATGTCCATGTGATTAAATTCTGTCTGGTGAGATGTTAGCAGGATTGTCCTTTGAGATCTCCTTAAGGGTAGATCATGCGGCCTTCTTCATCTCTATCTTCTTCATTTGGGCTGAAAATCAAACGTGATGGCTGAAGCTCCAGCAGTAATTCTGGGCCACTAGGTAGAAGCCACTTACTGAGGGTAGGAGAGTAACAAGGTAAAAGAGAGTCTGTGTCCTTGATGATTATAAATCTGCCTTACCAACCCTGGACTGTTTGTTTACTTCCAGACTTCACTTATGAAAGACAGAAATGAATTTATATCTCATTTAAGCCACTGTTAATTGTAGCTTTCGGTCTTTCTCACTTCTACCTCATCCCAACAGAGAGTATCTATTAAAGTCCTCATAAGTTGTTCTCTCTTGGGCAAAGTAAAGAGAAGGATCTGACCTTATCTCCATGACCATCTTCTTTTTCTACTCCCAACACCAAAAATGATCCTATTTCCATCTGACCTGTCAGAGCCAAAGGCACCTAAACAACTTCTATAAGAAAAGGGAACTTGTTAATTAACCCTAGCATGTGAATACAGTAGCAGTTTCTCAGATAATATGCCTATGTTCTCCAAGATGGCCTAATTAAATACACTGGGTTTTGTTCTGTGAAATTGGTTTAAATGATTCTCCTGCACTTTATACAGTTCATTAATTATATACCTTTAAGGGCTCTAAACCCTTTTCCTAGAGTACCAAGAAAGGTAAAGTAGCCAAATGTGACTTTTAACCTCAAACTTCAAGCTGCTTTATCTATTACACTGAAAAGTACTGCATAGCTCTTTTTCCGGAAAGCCTAGGTTTTTTTTTTTAATCTTCCCTCATTTTTATAGTCTAATCTCTAACATATTTCAATCTATTGTTTATATATTGAGTCCTATGTTATAAGGTTTAAATTCATTTCCTTTTAAGTTTTCCTTTTACCCTTGAAAAGTTACTTTACATTTTCAATAGTGAATAATTATTAGTGAGGTAAGAGTAGAGGATGGGAGGAGAAAAGAAAATGAAAGAAAAAATTAGACTTTAACACAGAAGAAAATTTATCTAGGTGCACATTAAACTTTTGGCTAGGTCAGTTCTTATGGAATACCAAAAGATTTTTAACCAGCAGGAACAAAGTCTTGACAAAACCAAAAGGCAGGTTTCCTGATGATCTAATAAGATAATTTTGTCTTCATAATTAGCAAATTGATGTTACTAAAATAACACATGGAAAAGTATGCTCAGATGTTCCCCCAATGGGAACAATGTGCATGATTCAGACTGTGAGCAATGACAGCATAGGACGACTTTGGGGAAATGCACACAATTGCCAAATCATATCCTCAGGCACCAGACTGTGTGAGTCCTCTACCCACTACCGATTCCTGTCTCTAAGATATGTTGACACATTTATTTGTCATGTGTCTTTCTTCACTCTGCATGGTGGTATAATTCTTTAGTCTGCATGGTGGTGTAATACTGAGGTGGTGTAAGTACTGAGTTCAAGGTCAGAAGACTTGCGCTGTAGGCCAGGCTCTCATACTTATGGGCTTGTGCATGCTACTTGACCTTCCCCAGTGTCGATTTCCTCATCTGTAAATTAGGGTTAATAATACCTGTACTGCTTGTCTCCTGAGTCTGTTGTGAAAATCAAATGACATATATGTATTAGTGTTTTGTAAACTATAAAAATTAAGCATTCTCCTACTGCATGTTTTTCTACCTATACCTTCTACTTATGATATTTCTTTTACTGAAAATTTTTTTTGAAAATTAAGAGCCAATCTAGATCTTCTGGTGGCCTCTCTCAAGAGCAAATCCCTTGTCCTCTTGAGCCTCTCTATCTGTAAATGAGAGGTTGGACTAGATTGATAGGTCAAAATGTTATTTAGCAGGAGAACATTTTTTTAAATAAACTTATTCAGAAGATCAGCATGTAAAATGAGCAAAAGCAAGTTTGCTCTTAGTTGAGATGGTTGAAGCTGGAATGAGAATTCAGAGTCCTGCCTAATTAGACATCCACCAAAACACACACACTCTACCCCACTCAGGCAGCCCCTGAGGTCCCTTACAACAAGCCTTAGATCCTCTCATTCTAACCTTTTTTTTTTTTGATGTTATGATCCCAGACCTATTTTTTTTTTAAAGATTTTATTTATTTATTTGAGAGAGAGAGAGAGAATGAGAGATAGAGAGCGCGAGAGGGAAGAGGGTCAGAGGGAGAAACAGACTCCCTGCTGAGCAGGGAGCCCGACATGGGACTCGATCCCGGGACTCCAGGATCATGACCTGAGCCGAAGGCAGTCGCTTAACCAACTGAGCCACCCAGGCGCCCCTCAGACCTATGTTTTATGATTCTTCAAGCAAAAGTCACTCTACTGTAAAGGATTAGAGCAAAGCTGGAGGATGGTATGGATGGAGAGATGCCCAGACATCTGAACTCTTGTTAGCTGACCAACAAATTTGTTGAAATGCAGCCAAGTCAGTCTAATCATGTGAGTACCAAGCTCCTTGAGATGGAAGATGTCTTTAAGAAGCTACGTGAAATATCTCAACAGTGCTCATGGAGCAGAGAACTCTGCCGAAACTATAAAAGTAAATATTGAATGGACCATTCTCCAATTTTTTCTCCGCTAAATATACAGCAACGCTGCAGTCTCTTTGACACTGTTTTCAATAAGAATGACTCAGAGATGAAGAAGCCACTTGTAACAAAGCTACTAATGCAATGCCATTTCTCAATGGCTCCCAATAAGTGAGATTGCATATGGAGGTTGGCTTCAGTATACACAGATCATATAATCACAGAATGTCCGACCTGGAAATAATGTTAGAGAACAACCAGTCTATTTTACAAATGACAGATGTGAAATCCAGAAAGACTGCCCAAGTTTAGGAATTCATTCAAGCTTCATTAAGTAAACATTAGCTGAGTACTAACCATGTGCCAGGTGGTGTGGATAGGAAGACAAATAAAACATGATCTCTGTCCAAGTAGTGGGAGAAGTCAGACAAATAAATCCACAACTGTAGTTGGATTGTTGCAGAACCAGGACCCAAAACTCTGTGTCCAAGTTGTTAAGCCACAGAACTCACACTGCCTCTCAAAAACCATGAGAAATTAGTAGTTAGGAAGTATGGCCAAACTGATCCAAAGATATATTAATGTCAACTAAGCCTAGGTCTTTGGAGCGCACAAGTACTTTGGAGTGCACACAAGGATAGAGCCCTCTACCCTTGTGTGAAAGAAAATACTTGTAAGGACTGCCTAGAACAGAAATCATGAATGGAAAAGTCCTGCAAACTAAGCATACGTAGCATGGCCTTTACTCCAACTTTTGAAGAAGTTGCCATGAAGGTCAAAGTCATGAAAAATTCCATTAGCTGCTAGCATACTTTTCAACCTATTAAGCAAGA